CCCTAATTTTGCTCATAATTAAGGATCTTATCCATTTCCTCATCTGTTATTTAAGCATCGGAACCTGAATCTTCTTTTTCCACTTAATTAATCCTTTTTCAGAAATTAAAAGTCCTTCTCTAATAATAAATGATGCATGCATGGCATAAATATATATATATATATATATGGTGATTGATGTTCAATAATATATATTGTATATCTAAACATACTTTTACAGGGGACAACAATGGTGCTGAATGTGGACCTACAGTGCTCAAAATGCTACAAGAAGGTCAAGAAACTTCTCTGCAAATTTCCTGGTGAGTCTCTTTCTCCAATTTTGTTAATATAATTTCTGTACGTATATGAATAAATTGATCAGCGTATTGGACTAAGTCGTTGTGTTGTGAACAAATTAATTAAAGAAATACAAGATCAGAAGTATGATGAGAAGGCAAACAAGGTGACAATTAAGGTGGTGAGCTCCTCGCCGGAGAAGATCAGGGACAAGTTATGCTGCAAGGGTGGTAGATGCATCAAGAGCATTGAGATACCTCCGCCTCCGCCTCCGCCTCCGCCTAAGACTGATCCGCCTAAGCTTGATACTCCGGCTGAGCCAAAGCCTGTGAAAGTATGTGTAGATGTACAAGTCCAGGGGTGTATTTATTGTAAATGGTGTAGCGGAAGGCCTAGGGCCCAATGTTCCTGTGGTGGGCAAGCCCAATGCGTTCCGAGTGATTGTAAAGGCTGTAGCCAAAGGCCTATGGGCCCATGTTCCTGTGGTGGGCAAGCCCAATGTGTTCCGAGTGATTGTAAAGGCTGTAGCGGAAGGCATAGGGGCCAATGTTCCTGTGGTGGGCAAGCCCAATGCGTTCAGTGTCATGGGAGACCCGTTAGCGACAGCTGGTGCGGGTATGGAAGCGGCTGTGGAGAAACTCAACAAGACTGCCCAATCATGTAAATGCTAATAACGAGACTCTGTTTGGAATCCAGCAAGTTAATTTCAATAATAAGTAACTGTTATTTTATAAATTAGATCTATAATTTAAATTTTGAGATCAACATTTTAAAAAATTAATTATCATAAATGTAACAAGTCAATGTAGAGTGGTTTTAAAGATTAATGGAAGGAATTAGCCTTAAAATATATAAAAATTGACTTATAAACATCTTATAGATCAAATTAAAAAAAAAAAGTGTGTTTAGTGAATGATGCAGGTGGATTTTGTTTATTAGCAAAAATGTATGTTACTTTTATCTTAACAAAGAATTGTGAGTGAGACTTTAGGCCACTAATGGGAAATTTTTTTTTCTAAGTTTTAGTGTGCATTTTCATGATAGTTCAGATACTTCTTTGGTTACTCCCTTTCTTTTCAAAATATAAGTTGTTCGTTTTTTTCACATGATTTTAAGCAATACTTGATTGATAATTAAAAATTTTTTTTTTTAAAGAAAAAAGAGAGCTATCTTCATTTATATTATTTATTATCAGAAGTAAAGAAAATAACCAAATAAAAAAGAAGTAAAACTACCGGAACTGCCAATCATTTACTAGTTTCTACATAACCATGAGGTTAGGAAAGGGCAAACTACTCTTTTGCGTTCTCCTGAAAAAGATCTCATAACTAGCAAATAAATTTTGTTAGGTTAAATACTAATTTTGGTTTCTTAATTTTAAAGTTTTGAATAGTTTTGGTTCTTTAATTTTTTATGTACTTTTTTAGTCTATTAACTATAAAAAAATATATGTTTTAGTCTTTTTATTAGTTAATTTATTAAAGTTTATCGATATAAACATATTTTTAGTTCCTTAATTTTAAGATTTTGCACGATTTTATTTTTGTCCCTCAATTTAAAATTTTAAAGACTAAATATATATATATATATATATAAACATACTTAATAAATTAATTGACAAAGAGACTAAAAAAATATATTTTTCATAATTTAGGGACCAAAAAAGTACATAAAAATTTGAGAGATTAAAACTATACAAAAGCCCGAAATTGAGGGAGCAAAATTGGCATTTAACCATTTCGTTATTCATGTGTCTTGTTAGGCCACCGAGGAAAAGACCATTATACAATATACATGCTCTAATGATCAGTTCATTGCCATGGCAATGAAAGGGCTTACCTTTCTTTGGCATAAAAATTTCTTAATTTGAAAATGGAAAAAGTAATTTTTTTTATGAATTTTTGAGTTCTCCATTGGGAGGGAGTTTAGGAAATCTTAAAAAGCAATTTGTTTAAAATAATTTTTTTTTCACAATTTTTAAAATCTTTTACATGGAAAATCAAAATTTAACTTTTAAAATGGCTTTATGTGGCTATGGAGAAATGAGGTGATATTTAAAGCAAGTTCAGAACTCAACTGCTGTACCAAATAGACTTTTAGTGAGTCAACAATTCTTAATCCAAAATCAATAGTGAGCTAAGTCTTGAACTATGACTCCATTGGAAGATACAAGAATCGTATCACACACATAATAATCCAAATGTTGAGTTTTTCACATAACTAGTGTGTTATGGCCTTGCACATGATCTCGGTTTTCATGGATGATTTAGAAAATTGCTAATTCAATTTCCATAGAAGCAGCCTCACTTCGACACCCACATAAGTGAAATTTGTCAAGGGTGCTCCCATAACTAAGACATCCCACTCATTAAGTTACAAATTTCATTAAAAGTATAAAACTTAACCCTCAATTCATTATGGCATAAATGCATCCTCACCTTAGGAATGGGATTGAAAATTTTTTCCATTAAATATTGATGCATCTTTCAACAATGACTTCTCTTTGATTCATTTTTCCATTTGAACCCCAATTCTTAGAATTTGGGTTGGGTATCCCCTAGTAAGTTCTACATTATTGGGCTTGAACCCCATCCCCTTTGATGAGCACTAGACCTTGGACTATAATCATAGATTTTCCTCCAACTTTTGTTTTTGCCAAAGGCCTAGTTGGTGGTGTAGTGGGTAATGAAGAGATTTAACTCATTTTTTTTTCTCACTTTTTCAAATCAACCCACATGTCTACTAGCTCATAAAATTCATATTCATATTTCTCAAATTCTCAATTCATGGTACCACAATCTTGATATTAAATCAAGCTAGTGAACCATCCTTTTCTTTCCATATATTTAGAAATATGTATTTAAGAATTTTTTAACTCAAACACCATCATACCTTGTTGTACAATAGGAATGTCCATCACACACCCCTTTTCTCAAATGCCTTAATATTTTTTTCATCATACACCATTATATCATAATTGTATAATAGGAATGCATATCTCATTTACTTTGTTAAGCACCATTATACCTTATTGTATAATAGGAGTGCATGTCACATTTGTTTTGTTAAGCACCATTATACCTTACTATATAATAGGAATGCTATGCAAAATCTAAATTAGGCATCATTGGTCTCATCACCAATAATAATACATAGGGACATCACAATCCCCCACATTAGGAGCATTTCAAATATATGATTTTCACATTCCTCAACTAATTGAGTTCATGAAGAAACTCATTTTCTCACAAGATTTCATAAGAGCTTATTAGCTCATCTTACATTTTATCGCCATAAATGGCTCCTCGGTCACATAAGCTTAAAAATTTAACTTACGTTTTTGGAATATATCAACCCAAATATCATGTCCATTTTTACCAAAATAATTACATGGACCAACTCAAATAGCTTTTCACTTGGGTTCTCAAAGTTTCACCTCTTTCATAAAAAAACTCAATAATGTGCTCAATTAAATGCATACATTTATTCACCATTTTTTTTAACCTTTAAAAAATAATAATCATCAATTTATTATATATCAATGGTGCATATTAATAACAAAATAATTATAATATGTCATACATGCTTACATGTACATTCTAATTAAACAGCAAAAATAAGAAAGCATTCTCAAATTTGAAAAGCCTTTATATCCCATATCCCAAATATATCATATTAATATATTTGCTTCACAATCACATTTAATTCAAATGACTAGTGTAATATACTCATTGTTGACAAAACCCCCCAAATTAATATGCATGCATCAAGAGCAAACGGCTAACTAATAATTCTTATAAAAATAACCACTATAGTACTAGTAACAGCCAAAATGCACCATTAATCTACTAATTAAGAAGCACAAATTTAATATGTATTTAATACCAATGGCTAATAACATGAAGTGCTAATCATAAGGTCTATAACCATTCGTATATAATTAAGTAATAAATCACTATTGCATATAACCTATGAATAGCCATGTATCTTTATGCCAAATTAATCACAAATTCATATATGTATCAATGTATGCATAATGGGAGACATTAAAATTGCATGTAGAACA